TTTTGATCACTTAATTAATTCCAAATTAATTCTTGATCAATACTAATTAAATAATCTTATTAATATATTATAACTGATAATATATTAATAAACCTTAAGTGTTATTTCTCTCATTTTAGTCTATCCAAATGCATGATGTCATGCAACCCAAATGGACCATGCCAAACGGGTCAAGTACATACCAAATATAGTTATGGACTTAGACACTAATCCAACACGTAGACCCTTGGGCCGTAAACCCCTGGGCCGTAAACCTTACGGCCGTAAACCTAGTTCATGGCCACAAACCCAGTTCACAGCCGCAAACCAGGTTCACAGCCGCAAACCCTGTTCATGGCCGCAAACAACCTTGAGCCGAGAACCTTGGCTGAAAACCCACTTTTTCCACTTCAAACAAGTCTCGGTAACATTCCTAAACCAAAAACAAGTGTTTTCTAACACTTTAATTAATGGTTTCGCTAATTAAAATACAATTATGTGTTTAATTATCATTAGGATACCGTTAGTTCTGCATACTCTAACTCGAGGGTCATCTTTCCGGTTTTGCTGTCGAGCACGTGCACATAATCAACTGTGAGTTCATACCCCTACGCTTTTACTATTTTTAACGTTTTCAGGTGGGAATACAAGCCAAACAAAAATAAATTTTTGTGTTCTTATACAAAGGATTTCAACAGAATTAAAACTTATGCAATTGATACAACTAAGAGATCACTACCTTTTATAAAATATTTAGATAATTTATCCCTTTTGTAACATGTTGAGCATAAGGGAAGTATTCAAATTACAACCATAATTGCAAAGTTTTCAAGACAATACGTGAAACGAATACATAACATACATGTAAACTATAATAGGTATTGTTTGGGATTTCAACACAAGGTTTTATCAATTCCAGAGCTTATACATTAACAAACATATAAACTATGATAGATGTCGTTTATGACATACAATACTATTTTCTGAACACAAGAGTACAACACTAAATAATTATTTAAGTATAATTACTTTTACTCTACAAGTATACGTACAGATTCAAGTACAAGAGAACACTACAACACTACATGTAAACTAGTTAATACAGGGTTATGAGGCACTACTTCAATTGTACCCTTCAGGGTGCGGAACTAAATCCTACCACAGTATAACCAGAGTCTCCTGGAGGGATAGCGTGAGATTTGTGAATAGATCTATTCGGGACTGACAATCCCACACCTAAACTGCTAGCTACAGTTAGGCAGGCATGCCTAGGGTGACAAATATCATACCATTCTGACGCCTGAAGAACATCATAGAGGTCACTAGGTCATATCAAGCATTATTATACCAAACTCACAACAGTATAAGCTAATCATATGTTTACGGGATTTCATTCTTCATTAGTTTTACTTTAATTAATAGAACTACTACGCACTACACTGGAGGATTCCAGGGAATACAAATACATGGTTTTATTTTAAGTAATAAAACTACTATACATACTGATGGTAGCCAGGGGTTTTCATACAAAGGTTTTCGTGCAGAACACACTATACAATACAGTTGGTGGTGACCAGACATGCAAATTAACATTTTCATATACTGCTACAAAACACAGTAACGAACATACAATTTGGGTCTTAGGGCTAAGACTACTTTTCAACACTAAAGAAAATATTGGATTTTCTTGAGAAACATACCAACATTTTACAGATTCAAAGAAATGTTTTCATTACAAAAACATCCTTATGAACTCACCAACTTAAATGTTGATACACTTTCAAAATCTCTTGTATTCTTAGGGAACCGGTAGACAGGTACACCCGCAGGCTTTTGAGAAGACGGAGCATATAGAGTCGCGTCTTTTATACTTTTGTTATACTTTTGCTGTATACAAATTATGTATCAAACATATGTAAATACCTTATATATTCAATGTAATGGTTGTGTTTACTTTGATTACTATGATGCAATTGTTGTGATACTGTACATGACGTCCTCTGCCCCTCGAACGTTTATGTCGTCTCGGTTGGGGGTGTGACATCCACGATAGGCCTTCCAAAGTCCATGTTCCTATCAGTTGCCAATGCGATTGAAAGGCATTCGGATATTAGTTGTTCCAATTCTTCAATGGTTTGGGGAAGCCCTGAATCAGGGGGTGGTGGCATTGGTGTGTTAGAAGATGGTGTTTCTGCTTCAGGGGTCATCGCTGGATTTGTTCGACCCTTTTGGGATGCCCAACTTTTGGTTGTGGAGTTGGGACATCTGAGTTTAAACGAGTACTCTTTCTTGGTGGCATATTAACATCCTATAACAGTTAGTAAGTTTGCGATGTTAGTGTTAGTCATTTTTAGATTTTATTTTGAACGATTATTTTTGTTTGTAGCTTTTTCACAGCAATTGTTGTTCACAAATTGGTTCATATGATAGTTCGACAAGGTTTTGAAACTAACTACATCATATATTTCATTTTAAACATTAGTATCCATTTACATCAGTCTTTACTTGTACAAAATGTAAAGACCTATGTTTTAAGGGTACAAAAGCCCTAAATTTTGCTATAGTACAAGTGAAACAAACAAAACTAACATATGCTCACATAACCTAACATATCCGAAGAGTTATATCAACATTTGCAAGTTTAACAACTTGCCTGCTACAACCCGATACTTCTTATCACCAAAAATTCATGAACTGGGCCACCGTATTATACAACTCGGTGTGCCTTGCAACCAGTTATGTGTGGTCTGCATGCCTTTCTTTGACTGTTTCATGGCTTTCTTCGAGTGTTTCATGGATTTCTTCGAGTGCTACATGCCTTTCTTCTATTCCATCTGCCAGAGAGAGAGCAGTATCGTTTTGATTCTCCATAGCAGTCATCCTTGCATTGTAGTTCATCCAGTTGTTATGGTGGTAGTTCATCCTTTGGTGGAGGTTATCTAACTCAATTTGGTATTGTTCTTGCTGTCTCCCCATACGAGTCATTCCTCCTCTCGTCAGTGCTACATGTCCTTGCATGGTGCTTAGTTCATCACTGATGTGCTAGACTTGTCCATGCAAGCGCGTATTTTCTTCGAATAGGAAAGACAAGTCATCAATTTCCATGGAAGATGGAGGTGTAGTTCCCGATGCTTGACCTTTCTTGAAAGTTATCGCGGCCTTCCTTTCGGATATCTACTTGTTCATCTTATTGCTCTCCCAAGCAAGTTGATCTACCCTCTTTTGGGTGTAGGAAAGCCTCTTGCTTTGCCTTAGAGTTGTGGGTCTCCGATCTGGGATTGATATCTTGGCAGTTTTCCTGGGACATCGACTTGGAGTTGTAGTGAAAGTGTGAATTGGGGTAGATGGAGATGTGGCAGATGATTCTGATTCGGTTATCACGATCACTTCGTAATTATCTTCCTCATCCATATCTTCCTCGGGATCCTCTTCCATGTCCTCCTCAGGATCTTCTTCGGGATCTTCTTTAATCTCGATCTCCTCCTGCTGCATCGGTCCCTCCTCGATTGGTGGGATAGGGTTATATGCCATAGGGAGCTCGAGGTAGTATGGATCTCTAGGGATTACAGGAAGCATGGATTGCTTTGTTGGGGGGGTTGAACCAATATCCACTGTTCGTCCATCTAAAATGGATTTTAAAGAAAATATTAGAATCCAAGGTACATCAATAAATATAAAAATATTATACTTACATGCTATTTGGTTCTATCAATTATTCATGTCTATTGACTGGTTTTAGTTTCCTTAAAACTCCAACTTTTTAGTTTATCAATTATTTCATTTAGTTTGGATAATGCATAAGGCCCGATCAGAATAATACTTAGGTGTGCAAGCTAGGTCTAGTTGTGATAAAGCCTATGTATTATGAAACGTATTTGATTAATTGATCTAAATTCTTGTGTTTTGAGTTTTTTTTCATTACACACATGGATGAGTTTTTATAAAATCAATAATAAATATTAATTTATGTTTAGTAAAACTCTATATTTAAGTTTTTGTAGGATAGCGGTATATCTATGCCTACTAGAGTAAGCCCTAGACTATAGTTGTATTTTTAGAAAAATAATTAGTTCTTTATAGTCGTTAGCCCCGAACGACGGCGGAAACGTCGGGGTTGCGACGTTTGCAATTGGAACCACAGTCAATCACATATATCGAACATTCATAAATTAATATATTACAAACTTTGGTTTTGAAAACATTATTATTACAATATAGTGATTATTCAAACGCGAAACATTAAAATAAACCAAATTAATAACAAAAGAAAGGAAATACGATCTCGTTGAAACCGATGGTTTACCTCCGGCGTCTTAGTTACCTGAGAATACACATTTAAAATACGTCAACAAAATTTGTTGGTGAGTTCCACATGTTTTTGACTCCATGAATTTTATATAAAATAGCCAAATAGAATTTGGAGTATTTGCAAAAAGATGTTTAAACCAAAAATGTTACTGGTATAATTATCATGAATTGTACAATTGTAAACCGATCTAATTATTTATGTTAACTTACTTATAGTACATAAGTAATGACTAACATCTTTTCATGAGGTGCAGTATAAAGTATTTATTTTATTTAAATAAATCGTTCGACATCCTACAAACAAAACTTTATACTACATACAACTTTGCCGAAGTTTGTATTAGTATTTATGTATCCGGGAAATTGTGGTGTAAATAAATGAGCTATGACTTGTTCACGCCTCTGTAAAGGACAATAAATAGGGTGGTGCTTGTCGTCCTAACGACGCTTCATCAATGTTGTGATAAAATAATACGATAAAAACATAAATTTATCATCCGATTTGTCTCGTCACACGAAGGTTGTAGCTAAAAACCATACGGACGGGGGTGTCAACCCGTATAGATCTATACACAACGTTCTTCGCTCACAAAAGATTAACGGTTATAACAGAGGACTTCACTAAGTTGGTTTTCTTAGTTTGATGAAAAAGAGACTCCCACAACAATCCAAAGTTTAGTTATTGTTCTACTATTGACAATATTTGGAAACATAATTTCGTACGTTTACCAACTTTAAAGGTAAGTTAATACTGTTTCCTAGACAATATAACGACTTGATTTTATACGAATGATAATGTACATATTATTATTAACGAATAATAACTTTCTTTTTATAATTCGTTATCGAGTATAAACATAACCGTAAATTTCAAGTTATTTATATAGTCTTGCTAAAGTCTAGTTTATGTCGGGACATAATTATAATCATATATAGTTGTATGTTAATATAATCACTTTTACTCATAAAATATCCACGTGATTATATCATGTCTATTTATAGTAATAGCATAAAGTATATATATATATATATATATATATATATATTGGACTTCGTTTTACAAAGTGTCCATTTTTTTAAAATAATAATACATGTATATCTTTATAAATCATTTCATGTAAATTCTAACATGAAATGAATTATGGTATGTCTTTGTGACATGTTTGAGAAAACAGTTTGAAATATTTAATATTAGCATAAAATGGAATATAAACTCAAATATAACATAAAATGTAAATAAACTTAAAAAAGTGTTAATAGTGACATAATTGGTCATGTGTACCCCCCCCCCCTTCTCCAGAAATTATTTAAAAGGTAAAATGGAGCTGTGGATACTCACTTTTGTCGCGTGACGGTATTTGGTTCGAGGAAGTCATGATGTTTCTGGTTCCATCGAGGCTTGAGATTTGAATTTTTTTGGGAGGTCTTAATACATAAGGCATAAATTAACAATAAGTTAGACATCCATTAAGTTTTATTTTAGTTACTACATGTTAGTTTTATGATAGAAAAAATATATAATAATAAAGAATTTATATAGTTTCTTCTTGGGTTCACAATGAGTTGCCAAAAAGGGGTTGAAAGGTGATGGAGTTGGAGTGTAATATTTGGGAGAGTTTGTTGGAAAATGAAGGAAAGGAATGAGGGAGGTGGTCGATATTTATAGAAGAGAGGATGTGTAAAATGGTTACAAATATTTGGCAAGATTTGATGAAATCTCGATGGATTTACCACTTGCAGCTTGATGTCCTTAGTTAAAGATAGAGTGGTAACTATCTAGTTGGGATTAATTTTCTTTTAGTCTAGAAAGTAGCATAGCTTATCTGATGTCATGTCGGCAAGTTGCCTAGAAGTTTCTTTATTTTTTTATGGGTCCTACTTTGGACACACCACTCTATTAAACACTAATCTAATATACCTAAACTAATCATTGTCATAATCATTACCATTAATAAATTATTACTTACATTGTTTTCCGAAAAAATATTTTTTTTCTTTTCTATCTCTCTAT